CTGTAATTTTCACATACACTAAATGATGAAAACCAAACCACTGCGACTAACGTAGCTTAAATATTTGAACCAATGTTTCAATTCACGGTAAATCGATGTAGAACAGGTCACGGTAGAGCACGGCCTACGGCCTACCTGCCGCATTTCCGGACAAGAGGAATCGATTGGACATTTGGCGATTTTCACGATTCGGCCACACTCCTCACCAAGGAACTGCGGAATTATACACACGACCTCCACTACGCTGCGGTGTGCGCAATTTCCTGGGCGAATGCTCTTCGTTGCTCGCTACGTTTAAGGCTTGGTTGATTCGCGTTTAATAAGCGTTTAATTAAACGTATGGATATTTCCTCCTTGAACATTAAAATATGTGTTTACAGTTAACGTTACCGTTCAAAAGTGTATTTGATTCATTACTTTTGGTGTGATTTTCGTCATTTATTTACTAAAATAGGTCCTCAATTTCAACATGACTGTAGTACTTCCCAAGATATACTGGAAAGTACAGAAAGCAACGCCCACCTTGACTTCGACTATTGCGATAATTGCAATGTCTGAAGTTCGACAGTAATTTTAGCAGTCACTTTAAATTTTTTTAATCGATTCAAGAGGTAATAAAATTCCACATCTCACTTTGCAGGAAATTTGCAAAGCAAACACATTGTCATAATCAATTGTAGAGGTCATACGTATTACAAGGAATATTGTAACATGAACTTCGACTGGTTCCGCAGTCAAGGAGGAAGCGTAAGCGTTCGGCGCGATAGCTCAAGTAGTCAAACGTGCTGGGCGTCTTGTGTTAGCCCCGGGTTCAATCAATTCCCGGGCACGGTGAACTTTTTTTTACAAAAAAATATTGGCATTGAAAATATCCTAATATTCATATACAATAAATAAACACAACGAATAGTTTTATTGGTTTGCATTATGTTCAGGTATTGGAAGGACCTTCTCGAAGCTTCGACGGACCACGTCTTCAGAGACCATATCCGACGAAGAGATGGCACGCTGCACCATGGCCATGCGCTTTTTCTTAACGGTGAGTGAGTAAGGATCTTCGTCGTCGCCAATATCTGCTCCTCCAGGAGCCACAAGTTACGGAGGTTGCGCTTGAAAGGCGCCATGACTCCCACGTCGAGCTACTGGCACACGGACGTGGAGTTGGGGGGCAAAGGTGCCTACCCAATTCCTCTTACATGATCTCGTACGATGCCGAAGAGACGTGGCACTCGAAATTGGCCATGAGAATAAAGGATGGCTCTTCGATGCCCTCCCAGAACCTCCCGCAGGTACTGAGCCCGAACACGTCCATCCAAGCCTTGGTTTGAACAGCATAGAAGTGTTCGCGTGGAAAAGTTCGGAAATCCGAGGACTCGATCCAACCACCAGGTGTGACACGCAGGATGAACATCAGCGGCAGTTTCGTTCCGTCAGTCCGGACAGTCAACACTGCCGTTATACGCATCGAGTGCTTCTCTCCAGCGGAGATCTTGGTGCTTCCGCTACGAACTGCCCAGATGTAGCTGAGAGGTAAAATGTAGTACATGCCGGTCTCATCCACCTTAAACACGCAGTCCTTGGTATAGGAGGCGTTCTCGTGATCAAAATTACAGGCGAAGTCCCCAGCATCCTCTGCCAGCATGGTTTGCTTGAGCTTGTTCTTTGTGGGACGTTGACGCGAGAAGCCGTGGCGCTTGCAAAATCATTGCAGTAAATTGAGCAGTGAGTTGTAGGCAGCATTTTCGGGGTAGTTGAGTAACCACTCCCTTTGGTTCACTTTAATCCACGTAATCATGTGCGTGGTGGTTAAAGCACGTTCATTATCGCGAACATGAGTTATTAATTTAACTAAACCTGGAGGGTGAAGGAATTCTTTGTAGCGGCCACCTGGCTCGAGCTTATTGTTTTTCTTTTTGCTGTCGCACGCCAGTAGCTCGAAGCGCTGGTCCAGCCAGCTGCGAACGGCGCGCCGAGAAACTTTCAGTACTCTTGCCACCTCGCGACAGGACATAAACTCGAGGAGATCGATTGCAACGAGCTTGGTAGAAATCGGATATTGCGTACGCTGGCGCATGTTTGATTGTGTGCGGTGATGTGTGGATCAAAGACGGATATTTTAATTTGAAAAGCGCGCGGGCGCGAAGTATTATAATTCCGCCAATTAACGCGAGGTATTTTGGGGTTTCATTTTGATTGGAAATTTGTTCTGTGACACACTAATATCTTCGGCGGGCGTTGCATTCTGTACTTCCCAGTATGTCGTTTAGTGACATATAATGTGTTACTAGTATGGGTCATGCATCGTATGACATGCAAACAAAATTCTTTCGCGCCTTGGAACATGCAACGACTTCTTCAGTTAATGCAAGGTTACATGCATAAGCAAATACGAAGATTTATGTGCTACTTAAGTACATGAAAAACTAATAAGGCTGCAAATCGGCCAAATTAAAGTTTTGACTGTAAAATACATTTCTGACGAATTAGCCAATAGCATGTTGCCAATGGATAACTTTGTCCAGTCATCGGTGTCTTGTAGTTGACGAAAAGCCAACAATCACTTTCCTTTGAGCAAATTTATCCTTCAAACGCTCTCGTGGCTCACACTTGACTAAACTAATCGAGTGCATCAGCAACCCAATCAAAGCACACCCTTCGCTGAGCAGTGAGACGAATTTTCGGGTGTGCCTGACCGATTGTCCTTCCTTCCATCAATCAACACATTAGAACAGTCGTCATTCTCAACCGCATTCTCCATGGTGAGTCCATTAACCTACAGTATAACGACCTTGCCCAAGTAAAGCGCGGGTGAGCTTTGCTCGCCATTCTGTAAATTGACTGTGAGACCGAATAGTCAGTCCCTACACATTCGAGCATTTTCAGCCTGACTATCTAGGGGCAGGTTGGAATGGCGGTCTATTATTAACACTATAGGGCGGGAAGGTGGTGAAGGATCTCACAAGCGAATTCCCCGTCATTACCGTCGTCCAAGCAAACTGATGCCTCCGGGTTCATTTTCGGATATGAGTTATGCGGATTTTTTACCGTTTTATTGCTGGGATTGGGAAAATCAAAATATAAGAAGTGTAAAACGGCATTTTAGAGCCTGATTATACAGTCGCACCGGTAGGAATGCCCTAACGTGCTTGGACGTGTTTGTTTGGATACATTTCTGTGATACCAACTGCAGTATAGAGTGAACAAGACAATCGTTTGAATTGAAGTGAAAAGCAGGGGCAATGAATGGACGTAACGTTAACGAAACTTGAATTTGCAGTCCATCTCGGCCTAGTCGTCGAGGTGGAACCGAATGCCTGGAATTGTGATTGCACGTGTACCCGTGATATGCTCGACGAGCTCTGCCATCAGTGACAACACTGGTAGAACGTACTCCATTGAGTGATTGAGTCGATTTGGCTAAATGTAAAATTTACTGATTTGCAAACACTGCAACCATTAAAATATTCCCATAGAATACTCTTGATCTTTTCATTGGAATGTTCCTATTTGCAAAATCTCTCTATACGAGTGACTTTGCACCAGTAATCCACACGAATTTTCCAATACAATTTCCCTGAAAATCCTTCGAGGAATATCTTGTTGGTAAGGTGCTTTGCTATAGGAAAAAATCACATTTACAGTTGAGCAGAACTACCACTCTGTTGTTGCGGTTCTTTTGGAGCACCACCGACAGGACACGCCTTCCAATTTTTTACGCATATCAACAACCCAGTTCAGTAGGTGCAATATGTGCAGTTTGTTACCTTGCACCATCCCTATAGGCTGTAGTGTGCATCGTACCGACGTTCAAACATGACCGCCTTAACAAGGTCGATGAACACAGGGATAGGATGTACCTGTTGGCTTGTTTACGTTCGGCACTATCCCACCGCTCGCTACGATATCCTCGCTCATCTACAAGTACGTCCTACCTACCGCCCATCTACTTTTAACGTTAGTGCCGTCCATGCCATTCATACATCAAGCAAAATTGATACTATGTAGTACTACAGTATTAACTTGCACTTTGCTTCCCATCCGAGCGGGTTAATAACTGTAAGGACCACTTCACAGTAAAAACATTTCATCGTGTCTGACGCTCAACAGCCAATCAGATCATTTCCAGTTCCAAAAGACCTCCAAGTGGTCTTTTGGGTTATTTTCGTCGTGATTAGTGCTCTGGAGCCATGAAAACACGACGAAAATACAGTCATAGTAAATCCGTTGCATCAAGATGATTGGTCTAAACTAAACATGCACAATAGCCATTAATTCACTTCATCCAGTTCTTGTTTCGCCCTGCCAATGCATATGCAGTTTGCGCCATTTTCCTCCTCGGTCTCCACCAAGTGACCATGACGGCCTTCTCTCCCTGTCCCTCCCGAGCAGCGCTTAGGGGCCCAAGTATGGTGCGCCACCACACGAACCGCACCACACCTTACTGCACGCACCACCTTCACCGCACAGAGCGCACAGCCTACATCCCACCGCACGCACAGCACGCAGCGAACGCACTACACCACAAGGCACGCACAGCACCGCATGCACCACACACTGAACACGCCGCATGCAGTATACGCGCCACACTGCACGCAGCACACTTCACCCACCGTTCTACACACACTGCATTACATGCTAGCACCGCACTCACTACATACCGGTACACACATCGCACTCACCAGATTTTCAACTCACAGCGCACTCACCAGATTTTCAACTCACAGCACACACTGCACGCACCACATTCACCGCATTATTATCATTGTGCCTATTCTATAGGTTGTACAACGCGCCAGCATTAGAGAGGTTTAGCAACTCGTTCCATTCCGCATCCATAGCGGCGCCCCAACATATGGTGACAAAAGCAGAGTCTACCTCTCAAACATAGTTATGGAAACTGTCAAAAATAATGCTCAATCCCCATAATTGACCAATTGTATGGAATCAATTCCATTCTGTACATTTTCAAACGACTCGTGGTCCCAGTGTCGACGCCGACCATGACCACACCAGTGAAGCGACGCAACTACACCGATAAGGAGGACGTGATGCTCCTGCGCCAAGTCTCTCTCGAACTGCCGTTTTTGGCGCGCCGTGGCATCATCATGGAAAAGTGGACGGCTGTAGCGCGGGCCCTTGTCGCGTCCGACGAGTTTACACGCACCGACCTCGATGCCAAGAAGGCGAACAACCGCTTTAATCTCCTTATTGACAGCCACCGCAAGCACAACAAAGATTCAGAACGAGCATCCGGGGTCTCCGAGGAAGTTTCAGAGAAGGTCCTTCTGTTGGACGACCTTCTCGCTGTAGTCGACGACGCGAAGGACGAGGAGGCAAAGCGTGTTGTATCAACACAAAAGGCCAACCAGCACATTGAAAACTTGGGCAGCATTGTCCGCGACGAAGCAATGATATCGTTGGGCAAACGAAAGCAAGCATGCGATGTCGAAGGTGCTGTCGGCGGCGGCAGCAACAAGGTGGTCAAAATGATGGCTATTCTCAATGAACAGGCGAAGTCTGACCTCGAATTTAAGAAGGAAAAG